AAAACTTTTTACAGTGATGAGATTTTGAAATGATATTTGGCACACATGTAGAGCTGATGTAGCTCTATAAAGTTACTGGTCAGATTTTTTAAAAACTTCTTAGATAAAAAGTTATAGCCATTTGAAAAATTGAAACACTTTGTGTAACCGTTAAGTATAGATGTCTTGCACCATAGTAAAAAAGATCCTTTTAGGCCAAGCAAACTTCCTAAGCGAAGACATACTACTGTTGAGTTATCAAAAATTAATATCACATAGCCTTATAGAGTTGATAATATATCTTATAATGAAATAAAAGATCAAATAATCATTAGAAATGAGGTAAGAATTAATTAATATAAATCAAATTGTTTGTACTATACTAACTTATATATTTTCTAGCTTTTAGATAATTATGATAATATTCATACATTTAGCGAGGATATTAGTTCATTAACTCCAAATGATAATAACACCAATCTTGATAATTCTAACAAGTCACCCTTCATAACTGAAAATTGTAAGAATTAAGATGCAATGTTTATACCAAACGCTAATGATAAAATTCAAGAGTCACTATTTACTTCTGTTCAACTCAAACCAAAGAACATAAGTATAATTTGCTTATTTATTTAAAATAATCAATAGTAATTTTCATATTAACTAAGTTACTTTTAAATAATTAAGCCATTAGTCTCTCTTACGGCTATTAAAAATATGAATATACCATATTCTGTTGAATAGCGCTGAACCAAAAGAATATGAAATAACAAACACAAAAGTATATTAGAACATATAAGTCAATTAGATAAAAAAGAAAACTTTAAGTATCTTTTCTAAAGTTTAATTATAATCCTCTAGTCAAATTTATATAATAAAAATTCTGAAACTGTTTCATTACTACGAAGAAGAAAAATTGATAATCCTGCTCTGGAAGAGCTCTTTGAAGAACAAGGTATGAGTTGGAATCAAAAAGAATTTGGAAAAGAATATCAGCTTTGAAACATCTATCTAGATAATAATGATATTGTTTATGCAACTAAGATAATTAGCTGGTTTGATCGCAAAAAGAATAAGACCAAATCTTGCAGTATAGTATCTGAAACTTAGATATTGATAGTATGAAAAAACATATTAATATTAATTATAATATGTATTAAATAGCTTTTATTGCTTATATCTTGATATTATACAAGTAATTTGGTTATAACTTAGAATAAAATAGTATTATAAGCAGTTCAATAATATAAAAAAAAAAGAACACAAAATGCAGATCTAGATTATATATATTTTCTTATTAAATATTTAAAGCACGTTCTATTATTTTAAGTTCTGAATGTTCATATTTAAAAATTAAATTAAATTCAATAACTTATAGTAAAGACAATATTAAATAAATTAAAATGATGTATTAATTAAAGCTTTCGCTATTATCATTAAATAATAATATTAAAACCTTTACTATTATCTTTAAGTAATATATTAAAGTCTTTACTATTATTATTAAGTAATAATATTAATATGATAATTGATGTTTTAACAATATTTTAAAAGATCAATTTCACAAAGTTAATAAAATTTATTTAACATAATGCATCTTAGTAAATTTTTGATAATATATAAGTATCTTATTTCTAACTTTTCTAGCAGTTCTATATTTAAGCAATTTCAATTTGCTTTTCTATTTTGCTATATATATATTTAGCAATAATAATTACAGTATTAAAGTATAATAAATATCAAATTAATACGTATTTCTATTATTATTCATATTGTTATTAGCCTATTTAAATTTTGATCCTATCCGTAATCATAATGCAGGCAACATGCTCTTTATTGCTTTTTAAATTATTACTAAAAACATCTTTCAATTGCTACCTCAATGAAACTTTATTTATAGTGTTTAATTTTTATGATACTTAACTTTATAATACTAACGTTAACAAGGAAAATCTTATTGTGCAATATAATATTCATCAATGTATAACTATTCACCACCTGATATTTGTATAATATCTACTACCATATAATAATAAATAATGCTTATGTACTGCTATGTAACATAATTCACATGCAATATTCATATAACAATATTCATGTGACAGATTTGTAGATCCAAAAAAGGAGCCTTTTTTTATGAATCAAAAAAAATGGACCTTGTGAATTAAAAAGGATTAGTTTGAAATTTTATGAATTTATTAAATTCAAGTAAAAAAAAAAAATTCATTGAATTTGATCAGGTGGTTGCTGAGATATCATTGCTTGAAGTTTTTTTTTAAAAAAAATGTTAAAAATAGAAGCTACACAAAATTTTCTTAAGGTTTAAGCGAAGACATTTTAGCAACTATCTGATCAAATTCAATAAAATTTTTTTTATTCGAATTCTATAGATCTACTGAATTCAAATAAAAAAATATTTATCGAATTTGATTATATAGTTACTGGATATCTTCGTTAAAATAACATCAAAAATCAAAGCTGTGCTAAATTTTCCTTAAGTTTGAGCAAAGATATTTCAACAACTATCTGACTAAATTTGATGAAATTATTTTTTATTAAAATTTTATGAATTCATAGAACTCAAGTAAAAAAAATTCATCGAATTTGTTCAGGTGGTTGCTGAGATATATTTGCTCAAAGTTTATTAAAAATATCAAAATATCAATTAAAATAGAAGCTACACCAGGAGACTTTAAGAACACGGAACCCAGTGATAATCATGAATTATCTCTCTCGATTTAATCACATATTAATTTTTATTAGCCAGAAAGATTACATTATATCATATTTGTGTAATAATAATTATTACCATTGATTTTTAACTGTATCAGTATATTTGATACTCAAAACTTTTATGACAAAGGCAGCCTTAGTAAAGTCTAAGTTAAGTTATAACAATTTTTTAAGTCATCTTAGCTTTTTGTGATTCTTTAGCATTTGAAGATTTTCTATTCAATAAAAACAATGCTTTAAAATTTTGCATAGACCTTGCTTTAGAATGCTTCATTAATACAAAAAATCCTTAAAGAAAACTTTTTTGTTAGTGCGATTTATGAATGAGTTATACTTGATTTTTTGAAGTTTGGTTCTTTATATTGAGATAAGTAGAAATTTAATATGACTATAGCTATTTTTTTTTTATTCAAATTATTATATCTAATACAATATAGCTTGTAACAATTTAGGTTTTTAATATTATATAATCACAGGTATTTGAAAGTAAATTTGTTTGTTTATATTTTTGTTATATAAAATATAATTTAAAAACTTGTGTTAATTGTCAATTTCTTTTTTACACTGATATATAGAATATGAGTGCATATAATAACTCAAACTTTTACTTATAGAATTACTATTTGCATTTTAACAAAATCTCTTACTCTAACCTTATTCTAAATTTAATCTAATTTAATTTCTATTTAATTTTTTATTACATCAGGTTATTAATTATACTCGTGTTTCATATACTGATATAAATAAAGAAATTTTCTAATTTATTTATTTTATTTATTTATTTATTTGATAAAAAGCAAAAATTTAGTATTATTTTATGCAGGAGTTGCCTAAATTATTTAAAAGTAAGTATTATAATAATTAAAATTTTAATTGATTTGTTTTATTAAAAAAAAAAATTAATTACCTCTTCCACAATTTCATTGTATAAAACTATATATTCTACTAATTTGTTAAATATATTGCTATTATTTTTAACAAACTATTGCCTCTATATATAGTCGAAAAAATAAGTATCATATAAGGCTTTAACTATTCCATACTATGGAAGAGATGAATTTACTGCATGCTAAGTTGATTCAATTGTATTCATATGAACTCCTGTTTCAGGGTCTTTAAAATTTTCTGAATAGTTGACTATTCTATGTTTCTATCTATGCTTTTTGAAATTTTTAGTCTGATAAGCTATCCAACAATCACTATATATTGTAGTTCCTTTTTCTATATACTCCTCTAAAATTTTTGTTAGCATTTTTTTTTGTACGATCAGAAATACATGCCAAAAATATTTTGTTTGATTCTCTCTCAATACTTCCAAAAACCTACTGCCCTACTACTTTTTTTCCTTTATTATACTTACGTTTACTGAATTTATTTTTATCAATTTCTACAATTTTTCCTTCACCTCTGATTTTTTTATACTCTTGATTCATTAGTACAATGCAAAATACTTTACAACAAAAGTTATACTAATCAACTATAGTTTAAGCACTAAGACCAGTTTTGCATACAGCAAATTTTTGAGGTAATTTATGTGACTAGCAAAATATAATTTTAGCAATTTGATCAAGTGAAAGTTTGAATTTTGCTAGCCATATTTCTAATCATGAAAGATTTACATGTCTATATGTTGTTTTTGAAGTGCAAACCTATCTATAACTATCTTTATGAGAACAATCTTTTGCTGTACTCATAGGGCTTTTGTATTCAGAACAAAAAAGTATTCAAAAAAAAATGCTAAGATCTTCAAAGAAAAGTATAGCCTGTTCTGTGGTTTGAGTATTATGATAGATATCATAATAGGTTTTTACCAATATAGGTGAATATGATGATAATTCTTCACTTTCTATCATATTTTTTTTTTAATTATATTTGAATGATTTATTATAAAGATGAAAATTGACGTGATTTCTTTTTATAATATTTAGATAACTAACAAAAAGATATTTAGAAGCATTGGAATATAATTAAAGTATTTTTTTTTTTGATATTTTTATGAATTTATTATGCATTTGAATTAATCAAATTAATTTAATTTTTAATGCTTAGAACTAATGATGTGTTAGAATTGTTCTAATGATATTATGGCTTAAGCTATAACATCATTGGGATGATTAATTTTGCATATTAAGGAGATTCATTAATAACTCATAGTTAATTGCATTATGCAGCATTGAATTCATTAATTTTTTAATTTATTATTCATAATATTATATTTAAATAAAAAAAAAATTAAGATTATTTTATGTTAATTTATTAATAACTCATAGTTGATTGCATTATGCAGCATCGAATTCATTAATTTTTTAATTTATTATTCATGATATTATATTTAAATAAAAAAAATTAAGATTATTTTATGTTAATTTATTAATAACTCATAGTTGATTGCATTATGCGGCATCAAATTCATAAAATTTTTTTTTTTTTTTGTTATTAAGGCTACTTTCTTGGCTGATTAGATTTTATTAGTTTGTTATTACAGAACTATCACATGAATAGTTTCTTAAGGTTTTATAGTTACATAATGAGTATACAACAAGCCACATGTACAACTTTAGTCATTGTCTAATTTAAGTAGTCTGCCATACAGATGATTGACTATCTGTTAGTTCTACACTATGCTGCTATACCTGCAACCTGCCTATGAGTTACCTATTTAAACACTCTGATCATTAACTTTTCCTCCCATCCCAAACTAATGTCACTACTATGACCAACTGCTTAAGCCAGCTAGTTCACCCATGGATTCATTCTCTGCATAGCTTAATTTATTAATTTTTTAATTTATTATTCGTGATATAATATTTAAATAAAAAAAAAATCAAGATTATTTTATATTAATTTATTTAATTCATATATAAAATTATATATATTAATCAGGTTATGTGTATAAGCATAGTATTGAGTTCAATTTATTAAATTCATATATCAAATTAAGCGTAATATTATTTAAATAGTCTTTTAATTTATTTGTGATATTATATTTATTAAAATAGATAAATTAACTGTTAATTTATTTAATAATTTATATATACATAATGTGCAGCACCCATTTTGAATTTATCCATACTATGATATTTGTGATGTTATTTAAAAATAAATTATTTGTTTATTTATATTTATTAATTAATTGCATCATTTAACCAATATCAATTTACTATTTATATAATATTGGTTAAATAGCTATTGAAAAAATAAGATTCACTTGTTCTAGATAATGTAACGAAGTTTAGGTCATGCAAAGTTGATTTTTTATTTTGTATTACTCACTGACCTCTTTTTTTAAAGGTTTTTTTTTAAAAAAAATTGTCTCAATAGGCTAATAGAGAACTATCTGATGAATACGCCTTATTTCACCAATACTCATTTTGTAAATATAACATTTTATCAACATATTTGTTTCACAGACAACCAATTCCTAGACAAGCTTATTTTGTAGACAACTCATTTCATATATAGCTCATTTCACTAACTAGTTAATTTCTCATAATTTCTCTAACTCTAACCTAATGCTAACTCTAATTCCAATAGTAATAATGTCAGTAAAATGAGCTGCTAGTAAAATAAGTTGTCTATGAAATGAGCTTATCTAGGAATTGGTTGTCTGTAAAACAAACATGTCGGTGAATTGATTGTCAATAAAATGTTATGTCTACGAAATGAGTGTTAGTAAAATTAGCTGAACTGCTATCAGACTATCTGATTTTATGTTACACAAAGTAAAAAATTAATATTGTAGCCTTAAATGTTAAAATCTATAATAAATTTTAAAAAAAAAAAATCTGACAAACTAACTGAAATTAAAAATCATGTAATGCAAAATGAAAAATCAATATTGTATGGTCTAATACTAAATTAGAAATTTTCTTAATCTTTTCTTATACATAGTAACATACCACAAAAAAATTATTACAAAGAGAGTGACTTTATTAATGCTTTTGTAATAGAAATATCTTTAGGAAAATATTTGTAACCACTTTACCTTAATCTGCTAATTACCTACAGTGTATAGTATATAGTTATACCTAGACATTTCATAAGTCCCTATACCCAGATTATTTTTTTTAAGTCATCCCAAGATCACTTAAAAAAAAGGGTCTGTGTATAAAAACTTATAAAACACCTGGTATACTTTGTATATCTCAGTAGAAAGCAATTAAATGTCACAGTTTGAAAAGTACTATGTACAGTATCTGTTAAAAAAAAATTACGTAATTAGCTCTTAGAAGTTAGAAGTTGTCACCTGACATTTGTTTACATTTTCTGACTAATCAAAATTAATATGTGATTATATCGAGGGGGATAATTTGTGATCATCACTGAGTTTCATGTTCTTGAAACCTCCTGCTATACCAAATGTTTCCTAATGAATATATCTCAGCAACCACCTGATCAAATTCAATGAATTTTTTTTATTTGAATTCTATGGATTCATAAAATTCAAATAAAAAAAAATTTCATCAAATTTAGTAGATAGTTGTTGAAATATCTTTGCTCAAATTTTAGGGAAAATTTAGCGCAGCTTTGATTTTTGATATTATTTTTAGCAAAGATATTCTAGCAACTATCTGATCAAATTTGATAAAATTTTTCTTATTTGAATTCTGTGGATCTATAGAATTCAAATAAAAAAAAATTTATCGAATTTGATCAGATGGTTGCTGAAATGTCTTCGCTCAAACTTTAGGAATATATAATGCAGCTTCTATTTTTGATATTTTAAAAAAAAAACTTTGAATGATAATATCTCAGCAACCACCTGATCAAATTCAATGAATTTTTTTTTACTTGAATTCAATAGATTCATAAAATTCGAATAAAAAAAATTTCATAGAATTTTGATCAGATTATTGTCGAGAATAGCATAAAATCGTGTATAATCATATTTCAATTGACAATCGAGCATCAAATATGCAAATAGCGATAAAAAACTTTAAATTAATAAAAAAAAAAAAGGAAAAATATATATATAGCTGCAGCTACATGTAGCCATCCAATAAAACCAATCAAATTTTAGTTTTTTAAAGAAATAACTAATAACTCAAAATTTCGATTATTAAACCATCTTCTATACTCTAACAAAAAAAATTCCTCACTAAATTTTGCACATACTAATGCCTAGATAAAATCCCAAGCCTCATCCTAACCCTAATCTTAATCGTGTGTTCTATTTTTATAAAAATAATTATTTTAATAATCATATTATACTTGATCTTAGTTACGGCTACATGTAGCCTATAGCTACAAATAAATCAATTCAAAAAAAAATCGCTTCATTTTCTTAAAATAGGATCTTATTGAGTAATTTAACAAAATTTATAATGTAATTTATTGAAGAAATACGATTTGAAGTCATATAGAAAACTACTAATTTCAAATCGTATCTCTCCTATAACTTACATATTAATTTGTTTATAGATTTTCATGATTGTTACACGAAAACTATTCATGTGTGACTATTGTCCTGGGGCTTAGTTGGTCACGATTTTTTTATTATTACGTATTTTTTTATTTTTTATTTATTCTTGTTGTTTGCTTGTTAGCTACAATAGTAAGAACAATATGCAAGATATATCTGATAAATACATCTATAAATAGTAGTGAACTGGTTATTGTTGCTGTTATCGTAGGTCTATTATCCACCAAATTGAGGATTAAACTAGTTATTGTAAGGAGAATTGTTGGATTATGCGCATTTACTAATTTCCCCCAGAGTTTCGATTTTGGCCAATCAGAGATCAAGATCAGGTGTAACGTGACGATCAAAACAACAATCACTTTTTTTTGTAAAGTCACATTTATCTTAAAATTCGTCTAAGAAACCACCTTTGGCGTACTAACAAAAAAAATTCCTTGCAAAATTTTGGTATAATGCCGGCTACTAACCCTAACCCTAACCCTAACCTAATTGAGATGTCACATTTTGAACGAAAGGTGATATGTAAATTGGTGCGAATAATCCCAGCCAATAGAAACTCTGGGAGGAAATTAGTAAATGCGGATTATGCACAACCGTTGTATCGTGGGTTGTGATAATTGGATTACAGTACGATTCCCCGAAAATTATTTACCCGAAAGTCTATTTACCCGACATCACATGAGGTGAAAATTTACTAATAAAATATACCTATAGTTAACTAAATGCTAAATTGTCACCCTAAGTGATATCGGGTAAATGGACTGTCGGGTAAGTAGTTTTCAGGGAATTGAGCGACAACCGATAATTGTGTATGGGCATGCACAACAGTTGTTTCCACAAGGGTTGTTTACAACCTTAGCACAAATTGAGAGACAATGTTATTTAGTAAGGGTGGGAAACGCAGTAGCTATTAGTAAATGAATAATGTATTTAAAGGGTTCTTTTTGACTTTAATAAAATTTCCTCAGACTTCGAGTCTTAAATATAAGAAATATATTAAGAATCGAATTCTTAAAGTGTTGAAATTGAAAGTTTATTGAATAATTGATTTTCTTTTATTATTTTAGTTTGGCTTTTATTGATAACCGTTTCGTTTTGCCTCGTTAATTAGTCGATACATATCGAATTACGTTTTATTATAAACTTAAACCCCGTACCCCGCTTAAATTAAATAGATCAGTGATGCATTTATTACACTCATTACCTTTGTTATAATTACTTAAGCGTGATCGATACATTTAAGTGATTAACTCCCGATTATAGTTGTTAGGCGAAACTATGTGATGCTATTCATCGCATATCCACAAATATTAACATGTGAATTCACATGTTAATAGCACGCCTAACAACTATAACCCGATTCGATATAAAGTATATCATATCACGTGAACAAGACAACCCGATATTTCTATAAGTAATCGTACTTGTTAA